TGGCTCACTCCTGGGCTCAGGCAATCCTCCTGCCTCAGCCTTCCTAGTAGCTGGGAGTACAGCCATGTGCCACCACACCTGGTCTTGAATTCTTGAGCTCGAGAAATTCTCCTACCTCTGTCTCCCAGAGTGCTGGGATTACAGGAGTGAGCCATCAGGTCCAGCCTAGTAGTTTTCATATTATGTATATTATATCTACATACATTATAAATCTCACAGTACAGTGTGATCATTTTGAAGCATGTTTTTGGATACTTTAGGGAGAATCTACAGTGATCCTTACTCCAAGGCTGAATGGCTTTTCTGGGGTATCTTTCTCAGTGGAGTATTGAGTGAGGACTCACCACCCAGGCTGATTAAAATTCCTGTGTATCCCAGAATCTCCATTCAGTTCACCACCAGGACTGCTCTCTCATTGACCTTGCAGTGTCTCACTTGAAGGCTGTACAACTTAGTATTTGACCAAAGACCTAAAGCGATGCCTATGGTGATTTCATAGAGCTCTACCAAGCCTCTTTCTCTCCAGTCCCATGCCTGATAGAGGAGAGTTCCAGCAGCCCTCTCCCTTCCCTTCCCAATTCAGCTGTATTGTACTCTCTGCCTAGGCTCCACTTCCCTGCAGGGAGGTCCTGAAACTGACCCAGGAAGAAAAAAGGAATCACAGAGCTCACTACTTATTTTTTGTCACTTGGCAGGAATCACACCCCAGTACAATGGGGTGTAGAAGACACTGGGTAACCTTTTTTTTTTGAGTTGGAGTCTCACTCTGCCGCCCAGACTAGAGTGTGGTGGCATGCTCATGGCAATCACAGCCTCAACCTGCTGGGCTCAGGTGATTCTTCCATTTCAGCCTTCCAAGTAGCTGTGGCCACAGGCATGTTCCACCATGCCTGGCTAATTTTTTGATTTATTATAGAGATGAAGTCTCGCCAAATTGCCCAGGCTGGTCTTGAACCCCTGGGCTCAGGCAATCCTCTGGCCTCTGCTTCCCAAAGTGTTGGGATCACAGGCGTGAGCCACTATGCCCAACTTGGGTTGCCTTAATAAACATGTTTGTATTATGCACAACCTTCAGTCGCATGGCAAAACAACAAAGCCAGAATTGATAGATGGATTAAAAAATGACTGCATTTGCTTAAATATATACCTGGTCTTTTTTGTTTGTTTGTTTTGTTTTGTTTGAGTTGGAGTCTCACTCTGTCGCCCAGACTGGAGTGCAGTGGCCACTCGCGGCCACTGCAGCCTCAACCTGCTGGGCTCCAGCAATCCTTCCGCCTCAGCCTTCCAAGTAGCTGGAACTACAGGTGCGCGCTACCACGTCTGGCTAATTTTTGATTTATTGTAGAGATGAGGTCTCACCAAGTTGCCCAGGCTGGTCTCGAACTCCTGAGCTCAGGCAATCCTCTCACCTCGGCCTCCCAAAGTGCTGGGATTATAGGCGTGAGCCACTGTGCCCAGCCTTCGGTAACATTATATTAACCAACAGAAGGTCTCAATGTTGAGGGGATTTCACTTCTGTGACTAGATTACAAGAGATATAACCTGTTTTGGCAGCCAACTGTCTTGTTGGCTTTGGTGAAGCAAACTACCATGCAGTGAGTCACCCCCGAGAAAGTCACACATGGCAAGGAGTAAGGACACCTCTGACTGACAGCCAGCAAAAAACTGGGGCCCTACCTTGCAGCAGGATGCAGGGAACTGAATCCTGCCAACTACCACGGGAGCAGATCCTTCCCTGGTTGCATGTTCAGAGTCCTCAATTCTGTCCAACTCCTTCCTTGATTGTGCCCACATAAGAAACACTGAAGTTGAATACCTAGTTGAGCCCAGCCTGGATTTCTGACTCAAAACCTGAGAGACAATGTGTGTTTTTTTGTAACCACTGAGATTATGATAATTTGTTACACAATAATAACAAATACAGCATCCTTACTTGAATCCTAGAACAGAAAAAACATTAGTGGGTAAGGCACAGTGGTTCATGCCTGTAACCCCAGCACTTTTGGGAAGCCAAGGTGGGAGGATGGCTTGAGTCTAGGAGACCAGCCTGGGCAACATGTCAAGACCTTGTCACTATGAAAAAATTAAAAAATTAGACAGGCACGGTGGCTCACACTGGCAATCCCAGCACTTTGGGAGGCCAAGGTGAGAGGATTGCCTGAGCCCAGGGGTTTGAGATCAGCTTGGGCAACTTGGTGAGATCTCATGTCTACAATTAAAAAAAATAAATAAAAATTAGCCAGATATGATGATGTGCACCTCTAGTCTCAGCTACTTGGGAGGCTGAGGAGGAAGAATCACCTGAGCCCAGGAGGTTGAAGTTGCATTGAGCTGTGATCATGCCACTGTACTCAGGCCTGGGCAACAGAGCAAGACTTTGACTTAAAAACAAAAACAAGACATTAGTGGAAAAACCAGTGAAATCCAGATAAAGTTAAAGTTGGGAAAATAGTACCCTACCAATGTTATTTTCTTAGCATTGATAAATGCTCCATGGTTATGTAAGACATTAACATTACGGGTATATGGGTGACAGGTATGAGAGCTCTGGATAATGGCTTTGCTCATCAGGTCGAGACTGCGGTGGCCATGAGCATGCCACTGCACTCCAACCTGAGTGACAGAGACCCCAACTCAAAAAACAAACAAACAGGCAAACAAACAAAGCACTTCTGGGCATTACATGTCATATTTAAAAAATAAAGAGCTGGGCTCAGTGTCTCAGCCCATAATTCCAGCACTTTGGGAGGCCAAGGCAAGTGGATTGCCTGAGCCCGTGGGTTTGAGACCAGCCCGGGCAACTTGGTGAGACATCGCCTCTACAATAAATTAAAAAAAAAAGATTAGCCGGACACAGTAGCAGGCACCTGTAGTTCTGGCTACTTGGAAGGCTGAGGCTGAAGGATTGCCAGAGGCCAGCAAGTCGATGCTGAGAGGGCAGTGAGCGTGCCACTGCACTCCAGTCTGGGTGACGGAGTGAGACTACAACTCAAAAAATAAAGAAAAAAAGAAAGAAAGAATACAGCAAAGTTGAAAAAAATAAAGGCATCAGGGAGTCACCAATGTGGTGACAGAGATTCAGCAACCAGGACTGACAGGTTGCAGTGTGACAAGTTAGAAAGAGGTAGCAAGTGCATCGGTGGCAGTCTGTTAGGGGAGCTCCGTGGTGACTAAGCCTGGTCCCAGACCTCCAGAGTCACAATCTGGTGGAAACTGGGGGTGCGGGGTGGGTGCAGAGACCAGGCCTGATGCTTGCCCCAGCAGTCAGAGTCTGGTCAAAAAATTCCAGGAAAAGGTTGGGTGGCTCATGCCTGTAATCATAACACTTTGGTAGGCAGAGGTAAGAGGATTGCCTGAGCCTAGAGGTTCAAGACCAGCCTAGGCAACATGGCAAGACCTTGTCTCTACAATAAATTGAAAAATGAGCCAGTTGTGGTGGCACACACCTGCAGTCCCAGCTACTTGGAAGGTTGAGGCGGAAGGATCGCTGGAGCCCAGCCGGTCTAGACTGTGGTAGTCGTGAGTGGGCCAATGCACTCCAGCCTGAGTGAGAGAGTGAGACTGCTACCCCCCCCAAAAAAAAAAGAAAAAAGAAATTCCAGGAAAAATATTTTCCCCAGCCTTCTAGAAGATACTTGTGTCCATTTAAATTCTTTCCAAATCTCAACATCTTTCAAAATTGAGTTGCTTGCCTGTTCCTTACCTTTATGTTTTTTGTTTTTTTGTTTTTGAGTTGGAGTCTCACTCTGTCACCCAGACTGGAGTGCAGTGGCCGCTCCTGGCCACCACAGCCTCAACCTG